GAGGAGGGTGGGATAGGTGGATGAAGCCTCACTTTTACGATCACTTAACAGGGGGCGTGTTTTTACAAGGCATGAACAAATGTTGGTTGGAAGTGGATGAGCAAGTAGTAGAGTTGTCGTGGCTAAATCTTTGCGCCTACATTTTGCTTCTTTTATTTTGTAGACGACCAGATGAATGCCTGCATAATGCCATCCCTTTTTTCCTGTCTTCATCACAATGCAATTCTGTCTGGTGAGGAGTCGTCTTAGTTATTTCAGTCTCCTGATGGAGTGATGCCAAAGCACTGACCCGTCCAGCTCACTCTTCTCGGGATCTGCTTGTGAATTAAGCAGGTGTAGAAATAATCACAAGTGGAGACCGATGGTTAGGAGAAGGCGAAGAAAGCAACTCAGAAGACACTTGAATACCACATCAGTCGGCAGTGAGACACCACCTTAATCACTACTTGTTGCAATCTTAGGAGGCACAATTTAGCACCATCATTTCACAAAGGCATTTATGAGGGTTGAGGGTGAGAAGGGTGTTGCGACAGTCCTCCGCCTCACAGCACATCAGTCAGCTCAGATTCCACTGGTTTCACAGAGTGCCTTTTTGGACTAGAAAATGCGGTGTTGATTCACCTAACCCTCATCCAAAAAATACCTTCCAATTTACTCCAACCTCAAGCTGCTGACCTCTTAATATCACAATTCTGTTTGTAAAAAGGGCACATTTGAAAGATCAAGCCTGTAGGGGAGGAAGAGAGGGAAGAACAAGTGGACTTAACGACCTCTGGGTCACACACACACACGTCATCTAAACTGTACAACAACTTGTGCCATTCATCATCCATTGGCTTAGAACTTAACCACCTCCACCAATGAGCATGCGTTGACTAAAGTGGACAGTGGACATCTCTTGGGATGTTATGATTTACAGGCTGTAGTTGTGCTCGTGCCTCGATCATGGAAGAAAGAGATTGAGGGGCAAGGAAATGAAGGGACGTACTGAAGAGTTAATAATGGCTACCCCCTCCCCTAACTGCATGTGATATTCGTCCCCAGCCAGCAGTGACGGAGGCTGTAAGGAGACAATTTGGTCAGTGGTGAATGGACAAATGGTGTTGTAGTGGGAGACAGAGGGACAAGCGATAACTAGGGGAGGAGAGTACACACGCCTAGAATGAATAGATGACCGTCAGTGGACATGGACACATACAGACTCGTCACTTACCATCGGCAAACCAACTGTCGAGAAGCGCACTTAGCGCAGATTTGGAGCTACGATGATGCGGTGATTGACCCAAATGACTCTGAGCAAAAAAAGACAAACACGTTTAGGGGCAGAGATGCTCGCTTACAAAGTGCAGTCAAGCTCATTGAAGATCATGCGATAGACAATGACCTCTTCGCTGTGATAACAAGTCATTCTAACGTCATGTCATAGTTATTTTCAGTTGTAGTGATGAACAGTGAATTGACGACAACTATGCTGAAGGCTGCCTAGCAAGGTAATAATGACTAGCCTTTTAAGGAGGTCAAAAGTGGAGAAACTTTAACTTGCCACCGCCACCGAGCGAATAGCGCATACGGAGTTTGTAAGTAGAAGAAGAAGAACGCAAGTGACAACCTACCGAAGGTCTTCGAGACAGGACAGGACTGCCCAAAGCCGACTCTCGACGCACAGAGGAAAGTGAGTTGGAAGGTCGTAGCAGTTTAGGCGAGTCAAACACTTGCGATGACAACTCACCACTGTTGGGGCTGTCAACTGATACGAGGCGTTGGGTGACCTCCTTCAAAAGGTGCCTACACACCACCAACAGCACAGCTTTTAACCACCATTCGCCTTCATTATCAATAAAAAATAGACATTCTGTAGAGGAGGCAATGATTTTGAAGTGCAAAACATCACTTTGTGACTCCTAATGACTCCCTTTTCACTCTACTTTAGAATACCTATTATGGCATTGCGACTATTCGGATCGGTCCCTCCGCCTCTCACCCCTTCATGCAGAAGGTATGCGTCTGACGTCCAAAACAAGGAGGGAGATAAGTGAAGGCTACCATGGTAATAGTGCCTCAGCTGCCTCTCTACTCCTCCTCCTCCTCCTCCTCCTCATTGTTAATTTTGAAGCGACTATTAGGAATGGCAAATATTTAAACAACCCACTCCTCCTTCCAAGTGGATGACATCAAGTCCATATGCCTTGTTTATGAGGAAAGAATAAGGAATGGAAAGTGGGCAAGAAGAGCAACAAAGTATGCACCATAGGAGAGTAAAAAAGAACGTACCCACTGGATAGGGAGTCCTGAAAGTAGAAGAGGGGGAAAAAAAACAAATCAGTCATGAACAACGGTAAGCATTGTTGCAGGTCACCTGGAGTGAAACACAAAAGGGTATTGTGTCAGTGACACAAGTAGAAGGAGCAAAAGTTGAATTGTAATGCAAAATGGATTGACTTTTGTCTCTGCTTCGCCTCTCTGTCCCGCTTTTTCACTATCTTTCTAGCCTAGTGGATGAAGACTGATGGTCGCTCTGGATTGATCATGAAGGACTGGTATCTGAGGCATTTCAGCAGATCCAATTCCTTCTATCGGAGTAATTTAAACAGTGTAAAAAGTATTCGACCTTAAAAAGCCTCCACCATCCTGATACCTGTCCCGTTGGGTGCGGTAGATCCAAACAGAAGGGAAGGAGGCGAGAAATTATTACCTTCTACAAGTACCCCGCTTCCGTGTTCCCCATGGAAGGTGTCAACAGTGAAAGCCACATTCGGTTAGAACCCCCTGAAGGCGGTTACTACAACGAGGAACTACTGGAGTACTGGACTGCACTGGTCTAACAAACCCACTCACTGACAACAACATAACCGAGAGAAAGAGGTGGAAAAACGTCAGCACATTTTCTCGGTCTGACTATACCTTCCACAGACAGAGTGGATCAGTAGCATATCGTTTGACAAAACAGTCGGCTTAACGTGTTGGAACGGTTGACCACCAGGTAGTGACCACTGGTGGTCCTCATCAAGGAGGCCTCCACGAGGTGGTCGTGAATCAGTTTTCGCTACTGGAAGGAGGGTATTCGTGTTAACACAGCCTCTAGCACTGGAGGTGACTTTTAACAACTCGGTAAGCACATATAGTATGACAGATGCAAAGTCACACAAATGGCGACGCAATGGCTATAAAGTGGAGACAAATTAGTCACACTACGCACTTAATAAAACACATTAAGAGCACGAGAGGGAGATAAGGAGAGGAGAATAAACATTATCTTCCATATTCACAACACAAAAGTGGCCTAGAAGTGCGTCGATGCAGTTTCGTATAACAAATCTGGCACACACGTGAGCACAACACCGTTATGAGTGGCACAGTTGCCAAAGAAGTCACCAAATGACCTTCAGCTACACCTTTTCAGCATACATTTCACATAGAATAAAAATGCACAGTTGTGAGTGAAATCGCACAACCTTCTAGCATTGACGTCCAATTTTGGTAGAGTCAAGAGTCATCGCCTTGAGTGCGCCCTATTTGTAGGTGCGTCAGACTTTGAAAATTGCATTATGAGTAGCCTTGTTGGTGGGATACCTCACTGCCAAGATTGCTCGCCTAAGCGCCAAAAACATGTGGCAACTTGTTGAGACTCTGATTGCAATGCTGCAATGTGTAGCAACTTGACCGCTTCTTATCACTAAGTACAGAGTAAAGCGCACAGTGTGTGTGATGGCAAACATTTACCGTGGAGAAAGACGACCTCCATAATGAGATCTACACAACACTTGTCTCCTTCAAAGTCTTTGGCAACGCAATCGTCTCTATTGGTGGTGAGAAGAGGGACTACAGCCCGAAATGCAGTGAAAGGAATGCTAATTGTCACACAGTTTTGAGGTAGGCAAAGCTCTCTCTTCCTCCCACTTTGGTGGCAAACAAATTGTCTCGCGAAAAAGGTGGTGAGGTAAACCATTTTAATGGGTAAGAACAAATTTTAGACCACCATAATAGTAAGTCCAAAGGTGTGAGGAATAAACAGTGAAGGATTTATTCACTCACCTGAGGCGAGAGTGAAGAGGTGGTAGCCGTAGCAGAGGATCGTGAATTTGAGTAAGGTATGATGAAGGAAGTGGGAGGAGAGTAGTAACCACGCAAATTGGAAGGTAACTCCTTGCCAACTTGCATACACTCCACCTTCTCTAGGTTTGTCAATGTCAACGAGCTGAGTATCTTCTCTTTTCCGTCTCTCACATCACTGTCTTGAGGCTTGTCGTCAAATGCGCCGCCTACGTGAAGGAGTAAAGGAGAGAAGAAGAAAACAATCAAACAAATCGTCCATTGTTGAAGTTATCAGATCTGATCCGTCACCATGGAGGAGTGAAAGTGGAGATGGACGAATTGTGGGCATCAAATGCACGCTAAAGGGAAGTAATTGCACTTCTACTGATGACAGTTTTTTTTTTTGTCATCGTTTTAACAAAGTCGAAATCGGACCACCAAAAAAGCAGTGTCTCAGCAAATTCAAAGTGTATCCAGCCTATATGGATGGTGGTTACCTGAAACCTTGTCTCCTTCCCCTCCCCAGCCCCCCCCCCAACCCCTTCACATTGACGGCATTCCAGCAAGTCCGCCGCTCTTCACTATGAAACAGGGAATCTCGGACTGCCCCACTGGTGATAATAGAAAGTGACCACCACTTTGCAACCCATTCAATCCTCGTTTCCACTGTCTGAATGAGGAGTCCAGGCTGAGGGTGTAAGTGCCAACATAACTGCATGAGACCAGTTGACAGAACAACGTCAGCCTTCTACACAGGAAGGCTGGTGCGGGCCAAATTGGCACCATCTGCTGTGTGCCATCAGGACGAGTTCGTCATGGTAGTTGCATTGCCTTCTCCACCCCTCCCCACTGCTTTGCCTCAAACCATCAACAAAAAAAATTTAAAGCAAAAAGAGAAAAGAGGATTTGAAGAAGGGTAAGGAGAAGGAAGAAGAAGAAGAAGAAGAAGCGATATTGTGAGGCGGACGAGGGGAGGGAGAAGTTATGCGTTGGTTAGTTAGTTGGTAAAGGAGGCGTTATACCCACCTTGAAACATTTCATTGAAAATGCTGGTAATCCTCGACTTTGTATGTTTACCTAGAAACAGGGAATGGTAAAAAAAAAAACAACAACAACACCAAGACCTATCCCATTTATCTGTCTGTGAATGGCGAGTCTCGACACTTCCATCTCCTTCCATTTGCCCATTTTTCACCCACAACTTTCACCAAAGTCGCTCTGTGTACTAACATTTGTCCTCTCTGTTGGTTAGGAGGAAAAGAAAGAAGGAAAACTCAGAAACATGTACACACTGGTATGACAACAGATGTGTTTAAGACTGACCCGATTTTGCCCTACTAAATGGAATTCAGTTAAAACTACAAGTTAAGCACTTCTTCCCTTTTGATGGTCTTGACAAGTGAGTTAGAACTTCGAGGTGCTTTTGGGAGGAAAAGGGGAAGGCAGTACAACTGTGAATGCCAAATGAGGATGGGAGGAAAGATGTCAAAAGG